GGCCTCCCCACCCCTACGCTCCGCCCTGGGCGCGCTCCTTCTCGGCTACTCAGCTGAACCTCTCACCAGGTCCTGGGTGGTGCTCAAGCCTTCCCTTAATCCCAGGGTCATCTCATTTTAGGTCCCTTCTCAAGGGCGGTTTAGGCATCTGGCTGGACTTTGGCGTCCAGGTCTGAGCACCAGGACTTTGGATCAAAGTCCATCTCTCTCTCTTCTATCACATTTGCACCCGTGGGTGCCACTGCTCTCTCCCAAGAGACTGAAGAACTCGGCCCATTGCCTGTTTGGTGCTGCAAGTCCCGGCACGGTAGCCAGACCCATGCCCTCCCTCCAGCTGCCAGCAGCAGCAGCAGCAGCAGCAACCCCAGGGGATGGGTTGGGGCTGAGAGTTAAGTAGGGGAAAGGTGGAGGCCCAGCCAGCTAGATTTCCGGAGGGGCCATGGCTGAGGCCCCTCCCTTTGGGCAAGGGTACAATAATTGGGGCCAGCCAGCTAATGCTTTCCATCCTGGTTTTAATTGGGGCAGAGAAAACTGGGGAAGGAGAGAGGAAGGAAAAGAGGCCTCTGGCGGTTTAGACTTTCAAAGGAAGGGGTAGCAGCTTTGAGGGAGGGGAGAACCTGGATTCTGAGACAAGTTTGCAGGCTGAATAGGAGCTGTCTGCAGTCGGCCTGAACTTTGCTCCTCTCTTTAGCTGGCAACCCCACCTCCCTGGACAGCAGGGGAACAAAGAGTAGCCAAGGAGCTGTTTCTGCTGGTACACAGAATGTGGAAGAAAGAGGGAGCCTCCTCCCTGGCAACTGAACTCTCTCCATGCGTACTTCAGGATCTGAGTTGGGAGCATTCCTCGTAGTTGGCATTTGGCCTTACTAAATGGAATGACAAATACTAGCTTGTGGAAGTCTCTAATTACTTGAGAGATGGTTTAAGGACAGACCTTGGCCTCCTGGGAGTTAGTGCATCAATTTCTGCCTGGACAGGCCAGAGCCTGGCCTTCGCTGCCAGTGGCAGCCAGAAGGATGGGGGAGAAAGCCAAGACAGGAAGAGGGGAGGACAGAAAGGGAAAAGAGGAAATTGTGAAGCCACAACAAGGGGTGGCCCATTAAACTGAGACTACCTATATATGCACAGGGTAAACTGGGGCAGCAACTTCAGCACAAAAGAGGTTCTGGCTTGTTTTATTGTCATTTAAAAACAACTTTTAAAACACGATTATCTCTGCCAAAAAACCCCAAAGACGACAACCAAGGAAACAGGACCATGTGACAGTTCTATGGAACGTTGTCTCTCAGACTCCCTAGGGCTCTGGCCCAGCTTGAGGTGCCAACCTCAGGCCAACACAAGCCTCCAGGGCACACCAGGTGGGGCTGCGGTCTCCCTCTCAGGTTCCTTCCTGAACCCTTCTGGCATTTGCCCCATGGAAAGAAATAGGCAGCCCAGCATTGTCACAGATGCCCATTTCATACGGGTGTATGGAGAGCAACTATAAAATGCCTGTTCAGGGTAAATCAAGACCTAAAGGGGGTTGGCAGAAGGGACACCAGCATCCTTGTCTTTCCTCTCATCCTTGTCTCTCTGGCCAGCTGCCCCTTTGCTATTTCTCTTCTTGGTTTAAATAGCTCTTTGGGAGGCTGAGGGAGGGGGCAGGGACCTGAGGACTTCCACCGCAGTCCAGGTTTTGCACAGCCTCTGGCTTCAGTGGGAACCCAAGTATTGGTGGGAGCAGCAGTGTGATGGGGCTGGAGGCCCCCGGGAGGGGGGAGGAGGGACTGGGGGCTGCATGGCAGCTTATCAGGCTTCCCACCAGGTGAGTTTTGGGATGGAGAGAGAGGATGTTTCCCCTACTATCTCCCCAGCCCCTATTAAACCTTTGATTCACCAAGGAGGAGAGGGTAGTCCAACTAGGAGTGGGATGGGAGCACGAGACTCAGTCACTGTCAGACCCCACTGCAGAGGACCCTTTCCGTTTCCGCTTGGTGGGCTTCGGTTTTGTGTCTTCTTCCTCCTGGAAGAGATTGAAATGAGAGGGAACATTAGCCTGATAGCTGCTGCCCCAATGCCACCTGCACCGCATGCTCATTTTCCTGTGCACTAGCTAGGGGGTCTCACTGAGGCACTGCTAGAACCAGACTCTTCTTCCGTGTTGGGGGGCTGTGTGGCATTCTTTCGACTCCGGGGGCTGGAGAGAGCTGCTTTTCGCCGGCTCTTGGGTGGCTTGGTGGAAGAGTCCTCATATTCCTCTGCCAGGGAGAAGAGGTCGCTGAACCTGAGGGGAGAACAAGCTCTCAGAGCGGGCCCCTCTGACTTCCTTCCCATCTCCTCTGCCCCATGCCCGCAGAGTCTCTTATTTCTCTTCAACTCCACGGTCTTTCTGGTCATTAAGTTTATGTCCCCCTCCCCTAGGCCTTCTCCCACTATATCCCAAGGAGCCTCACTTCATCTTGTGGGCTTCGTCACAGCTCGCCTGGACGTGCTGCAGAGCCTGGAGAATTGGGGTCTGGCTAAAAACTAGAGGGAGGAGGGAGGGACAGTAGGGAAGGAAGAACAGTCAGATATCTGAGAGCGTAACAAGCGGTACCCAGGGGTGATTTTCTCCCGCCCTTGCTCCCACCAGGCTCTAGGGGTGGTCTGAGCCAGGGCAGCACCAGGCATGCTAGATTCAGGGAGGGCTGGCAAGCATACAGTTCTGCTTAGTGTTGGTCAGGTTGAGACGCAGGTTGTCCAAGTGCTCCAGGATCTGCTCCAGAGTCAGCTGGGCCAGCTTGCTGCTGGAGCTCCTCAGGCTGCAGAGAAGTCACAAGAACCAGATTCTGAGCTCCAAGTGAGGGTTCGAGGAGTGCAAGACACTCTCCCACACCAGGGTCCCTCCTGAAGACAGAGGCAGCCCATACAGGGAGGGGACAGAGGGTTGGGAGAGGTGGAGTGGGATCAGGAAGGTGGGCTAGAATAGGGACTAGACACAGGGCACTAGGAAAAGAGGGGAAAGGGCCACAATAGTCGTGCTTGCCATGTAGCATCAGACCACTAGGTGTCACCCACAAGCCAGACAGGGACAGCATAGGCTGCTCTGGGGATGGCCTGTGGACAGCAGCAGCCTGGCCTGGAGGGTCCCAAAGGGGCCACTCCCACCTCTGCCTCTTGCGTGGGAGGCTGTTGTTCTTGATGAGCAGGGACTTGATGTGCTCCGCCAGCAGCTCATCGTGCTTCATGCACCAGTGTCGCAGGATGCTGGTGGTGAACTGGTCGTCAGGGTGGCAGGGCCGGCTCAGCACCATCTTTACCATCTCCTCGCTGGGCCTGGGGGTGTGAGGGGGCGATGGGCACCCTGCTCACACAACTGGCCTCAGGAACCTCCAGATCTCTCCCATGTACTTATTTCCTAAACCTCAGCCTTCCCCACCCCTGCCCCACCCAAGTCCTGCTGCAGCTTCCTCCTCTCACATCCCTCTCCATGTTCTCTCTGGGCCAAGGAATGCCTGGTTTCATCCTCTGCAGAAGCCAGGGGACAAGAAGTGAGATTCTTTAGTTTCTGTGGTAGTAGAAGGTACCTGTATGTATGTGGGGAAGGAAGCCCCCAGATCTCCCCCCTTTTGCCCAAAACAGTCAGGAAATGGGCCAGGGAG